AATTAATTGCATTTAAAGTAACTGTGTTTAGTAAAAAAGAACTAGTCTTTCTTGAAACACAAATTCAATAAATAATAAAATTGTATGAGTAACTCTTTACAAATAGATCTTGATGATAAACTTAATAAAGCATGTGATCAATTTAATTGATCTCATAGAACATGAAGAATAAAGAATTAAATAGAGATAACAAAATAAAGGACTGACTGGAGTATGTTCTTTGATGTGTTTATTTTATAGAATAACAAAAACTATAAGATGTTGAATAAAAAAAAATAACTAAAAAAAAGAATTTCTAAATAAAAGAAATAAAAATAACTGCAAATAATTAAAATTCGTATTTCCATTTCCTCTAACGTTTGATAAAAATATAAAATTTAAAGAAATAAATAAAAGAATAATAAGAATAAATAAAACATAAATTTGAAATGAATAAAACTTTTAATAATGCTTTGACTTTTCCAAAGTCAAAGAATGAACCAAAACTAATTTTATTTTTAGGGAATAATCAGTTCTGAATAACTTAAAAAATTATATTATAAATCCATGAACAATATATTAATACTATTTTTGTTTATTGTTTATTCTCTTGCTGCACAGGGAATAGATTGTGCCTATCACATGAAACCAGATACTTTCACTTGTATAAAAAACAAAGGTTATGGTGATTTTGTGTTTGTTAATTTTTTTAGAGGAGTTAATTATACACAATATTCTAACAATAGATAGAATTATTAGAGGATGGAGGTCTATTGGTTCATTTGATTCTGAAGCAGCTAATTCATATAAGAGTGCTATCACTGCTGGAATTACAGATATTGATCTTTATTTTTATCCATGTGTTAAATGTGGAAATGCTGCTTCTCAAGTCAATTCATTTATTACCCAAGCTAATACAAATGGAATTAAATGGAATACTTTATGGTTCGACGTTGAAAAAGATTCATGGAGTAGTAACGTTGCTACAAACCGCCAGTTCTTAGAAGACTTATTATCAGCTGCTCGTGCTGCAGGTATTAATCATGGTATTTATTCTGGATGGGGTGTTTGGGGACAAGTATTAGGTTCTAATTATGTTTCTAAAGAAGCCTCTAAATTACCATTGTGGTTTAGTCACTACGACCATAAAGCTAACTTTGATGATTTTAATAGTGGAAAATATAAATTCGGCGATTTCACTATTGCAATGAAACAATATGAAGGAACCACTAGTATGTGTGGTGTCCTTGTTGATATTGATTATAAACCTGCTGGAGTCACTCCTGTAAATCCAACCCCTGAACCAGAAACACCAACTGATGGAAGTACTGATGGAAATACACCAAGTGGAGATTCTACTACTGATGGAAAGACTCCATCAAGTGATTCAACTCCTAATACACCATCAACAGATAATACACCATCAACACCAAGTACTGATGGAAATACTCCATCAAGTGATTCAACTCCTAATACACCATCAACACCAAGTACTGATGGAAATACTCCATCTACAGATATTACACCATCAACACCATCAAGTAGCTCAAGTACACCATCAAGTAGTTCAAATATACCATCAGGTAGCTCAAATACACCATCAGGTAGCTCAAATAATGGTAGTTCAAATGGTTCAAATAATACTTCTAAACCACGAAAAACAAAAGAAGAAAAAAGGTTGTCTAAAAGAATAAGAAAATTAAAAAGACAATTATATGATAAAAATGGAAAGTTAAAAGAAATAAAAAGACGACCAGGAGAGTCTTTTATACATTTCTTGCAAAGAAAAGCAAAACAACAAAAAAAAATTGAGAGATTAGAAAAAATGGAAAAAAGAAGAGACTATCTTAAGAAGGTTAGAAAAGAAAAGAGAAAAATCAATAGAATGGAAAAAAAGTTATTTGATAAGAATGGAAAATTAAAAGAAATTACTCAACAACCTGGAGAAAGTAAAAAGAGTTTCCTCAGAAGAAAGAGACAGCAACAAAGATTATTACAACGATATGAAAAAGAAAAGAAGAAAGAAAACTTATTGAAATGGAATAATTATAAAAAATCTAAGCATCCATTAGCAGAGTTAAAAGGAAAATTATTAGATAAAAGTGGTAAAGTTAAAAAACTTGTGAAAAAAACAGGAGAGACTGAGGCCCAATTTGCTAAAAGAGTAGCTAAACAAAAAAAACTTCTCAAAGAATATAAGAAAGAATTGAAGAATTCAAAAAAAGATAAGAAAGACAAAAAGATATGGGATAAATTGAAACCAAAACATAAAAAGAAAAGTGGAATGTTTGGTAAGATTGAAAGGGACATTAATAAGAGTATTAAGAAAACAAAGAAAAGTATTAAGAAAGATATTAAGAAGAGTAAAAAGCAAATCAAAAAAATTATAAAGAGAAAGGCAAACAAAGAAGGATTAAATAAGAAAAAAACAAAGAAAATAACAAAGAAACAAAATAAAAAAATGGATAAAATAAAGAAGGGCAGCAATAACCGATTAAAGCAATTACACAAGAAATCAAAGAAGCAATTGAAACAATTGGAGAAAAAGACAAAAATTAAATACCAACAAGCTAAAAGACAAGGCATTCAAAAAGCAAAACAAATTAAACGAAATGCAACAAGAAAAGCTCTTACCATTAAACGTAATACTCAAAAGAAGGCAGCTGCTATAAGACGTATGGAAAAAAGAAAAGCAACTATTAAGAAACAACAGACCAAGAAGAGAATAGTTCAAAGAAGAAATACTAAAACAAGAAAATTAGTCAGAAAAGTTACTGTTACAAGAAGAAGATAAATGAACTTCTATTCATTTTTTTTTGATTCTTTTTATTTGGTTTAAGTGAAGAAGAAGAAAGAAATTGATTATTAATTTTTTGAGCAATACAACATAAGGACATGACATAGTAACATGATGACTATCAGAATTCTTATATACAATAAAGAATTTGGGTCTATAGTCAGTTCATATGGACTAGATGATATGGTCAAGAAATATGACAATGAACATTTCCCAGATTTTAGATACATCGACATATTAATAAGACGTTGAACATCATTTACAGTAAATCTACTTGGAGCACCAGTAAAATAAATATGAATAGCACTATACTCTATTTCTGGAAGTGCAAAAATTGCTTCTCTACTTGAAATAATCATAGAACTAATGAAATTAATAAGGTCTTGGTCGGAAGTACAAATAAAAAAGTCTAATAAACGAAGTCCAACTTCTATGTTTTCAACTGAGTGTAAAAACCATGTTATGTACCAAGGAAATGCAAACATTGCATCACACCCTGCTTCTTCTAATGCATTGCTTAAATCTGGATCAATAGAACTGACAGTTTTCAATGCTTTTTTTCCACCACTTAATGCTTCATTAAAATCAAATAATGATTGCCTAAATCTTAATGTTGCAAGTCTTTCACTAACACCTAATATTAGTTCATCATCTTCACTAGTAAAAAGTAAATAACTAACGATGTCATGAAATCCTTGATAATACTTAAACTCTGGATGTAGTACAAATATCCCATCTAGTATTTTTAATAACCTTTCTTTTTGTCTTGTACTATCCTCTTCATTTAATAATCTACCGTATGTTCGTTTAACGTCCAATGTTATTTGGTAATGTGACTTACTTTCTTTAGCTGGGTCTTGAATTTTTTCCGCATGAAGAAGATGTTGATAAATTTTAATTCTATTAGGATTCTTCAACCCTCCAAATCCTCTGACACATTCATTTATTATTCCATATTCATTCCATTCATTTTGCATTAACTTATTAATTATTTCGTCCTGCATTTTCGGGATTGTAATTGAATAGTTCATAAAAATTTTTTAGTTTTGTTTTTTACTTTTTAAATTATAAAGCTTATTTTTTCATATTTCTTTTCTTTTGGAAAACAAAAAGGCAGTTTATCTTTTTTTAGATACAAAACAACCACGAATGTCTAGTACAACAATTATTATTTGTGTTATTTTAGCTATCATTATTATTTTAATAGAAAGCTGGTGTCATAAGGCAGTTAAAAAACAATTAAAAATAAGAGATCCAGTATTATTTTTATTTGCACATGCAGATGATGACGCTATGTTTTTTATACCAACAATAGAATATTTAAAACAAAATCTCATACCATTTGGGATGTTTTTATTTTCATCAAATCCTATCAGAAAGAAAGAATTTGAAAATGCTGCTAAGTTTCATAAGTGTGAAAATATTACAATATGTGACCCAACAAAATATCCTGATGGTTTTGAATATCATTGGGATATAATGGAAATGGCTAAAGATGTTGCTGAATTAATTCAAAAAGAAAATATACAAACAATTATTACTTTTGATAAAAAAGGAGTTAGTGGACATCCAAATCATATAAACATTAATGCAGCATTACCAATGATTCATACTTTTTGTCCACATGTTTCTATTTACACATTAAAATCAAAGAATATAATAAGAAAATATTCACATACTATTGATTGTATTTGTTCTTTCTTTGAAAAAGATGATGAACATACTCTCTTTACTGTTCTTGATTCAAACGAATATGCCACATCTTCTATGAAATTATACCCTTCACAATTTGTATGGTTTAGACATATTTATTTAGCATTTTCAACATATACTAAATTAAATCAATTAGTTGAATATTACTAATTAAAAAAAGGTAAGGTAATTCTTTGTCTTTTCTTATTTTCGTTTTGATGAAAAAAATTCTTATTATTTATTATAATTTTATTATTTATTTTATTTTTTTATTCATTAAAAGAACTAGTAAAATTTAATTCCCCCATGAAAATACTTATTCTCATTTTATTTACTACAGCATTAGGTAAAATCCAAGTTAATCTTAAAAGTAATTGGAAAGACACTCCTTTATTATACGAAACATTGTCATATTTAAATGAATATAATAATGAATTACTTCTTCCATTTTTTGAAGGAATTATAGAGAAGGATGTATTTAATTTAAGAGGAGAGAAAGCTTATAATACATTTATTGAATTACTTCCAGAGAATAATAGAAACTTAATTGAATTAGCATTATCATTAAGAAGCCAATCACCATTTGTTGCAGCATCTAATTCAGTAAATATAAGTTGTAATGGGATTATTAGAGGAAATAAATGTAGTTTAAATGGAAAAGAAGAAGAAGGAAGATTTGAATATGAACGATATTTATTGTATTTAACAAAACAAACTAATACAACAGGAATTCTTATTATTCCACAAGAAAATATAAAAGAAAAATTTAATTTATTAAAACAATTAATGAAAGAAAAAGTTATAAGTTCAATAGCACTTTTTCTTAAACCATCATTGTCTGAAGGAATAAAAGATGGAATTATAACACCATTAGATACAATGAATCTTACAGGATATGATATTGAAATAATGCATAGAGGTTTTAAAAGAGAATTTGGTATAATAAAAGAGAAAGAAGATTATATTTATTTAAAAGAATGGAATAATGAAGACTTAAGAGTTGGAATGATGGATTATTTATTAAATGATAAAGAAAAATTAATTAGTAATAAATTAATGAATATAACACAAGAATTTCCATTATCTATAATTAATTTGTTAAAAAGAAAAAATGAAAGTTTAAAAATAATGTCAGAACGTTTAAGAGAAGTAAATTCACAAATAATGTTAATAAATGGAATATCTTTTAATTTACAACAACAATCAATTTATGATTTTATTGATATTTTACAAAAAGAAGATAATAAATTACATGAATTACAAAAATATGAATTACCAAAGAATTTATTTATTTCAAGTTTAGTTTCAAAAGAAAATAAAGAAACTATTAGATTTCTTATTCCATCAGAACATATTATAAAATTAAATTCACTTGACTCTTATTTATATGAAAGATTCCCAAAACAATTAGAATCATTCTTTCAATATAATCCTTATAGACTATTTAGATACACCTCTCAAGACCTTTATACTTTTATTGCTACACTTGATTTTAATGACTTAAGTCAAACATTAAACTCTTTAAAAGTTATTCAAACTTTTATGTTTAGATATATGGCTCCTCTACAATTTGGAATTATTCCAATTAATATTCCAACAAATGAAATTGGTAAAATTCTATTAAGTAGTATTATTGATATTAATAATAAATGGGGAACTGATGGATTAATGAAATTTATTGAAAAAGTTGATGAATTACAAATTAATAGTGTTAGTCAAATAACTGATTTCTTTAGAAAGTTTTATAGATTAAGAGTAAGTACATTTGAATATAATATTAATAATTATTTAAATAATACTAAAATATTAAATACTATTAATTATATGAATAGTTATGGATTTAAATTTAACGCTTTTTATCTTAATGGAGTCTTTATTAATTCTGAAAAAATGGTTAGTGAATTCTCTAAAATTTATTCAAGTGATATTCCTATTTTACAAGAATTAATTAGAACAAAACAACTTCATGATGGAAATATTTATAAACAATTACAAAATAAATTCCAATGGATTAAATATATTGATAATGACCTTATAACTATTAACCAACATTCAATTGCTAACTGGAAAGAACCTTTTAATATTTCTAAAACCGAAGATATTAATCATATTATCACTCTTTGTGGAGATGATGATGAAGTTAAAATGAATCAAATCATTGAGAAATTACATGAGCTTCATTCTAAGGAAAAATGGAAAATTATTGGTGGAATGAAAAACATTACTGAAAATCAAATTATTGAAAATAAATTTAAAACAAAAGAATTTAAAGAAATTATAAAAATATTAAAAGAAGGAAATAAAAAGGAAATATGTGAAAATGCAAATATTATTTTTGACAGTATTAAAATCAAAGGAAATGAACATTTAGAAGAACAAATAAAACTTGTACTTCATGGTATTAAACATTTAAGTGAGAATTTAAAAAGGGATATTGGAATTAATAAACTTGGTATTGCAATGAATTTGATTTTATTAGATTCATTAACAACTAATAGAGTATATGATAATAGTCAATCACCATTAACAGTTAGACAAGTAGTAAATGATGTTAGTTCAATTCAATATAATATTAAATTATTGATTGATCCTATTATGCGAGAAGCACAAAAAGTTGGTAAAATGCTTCAAATACTTGAAGAGTTATATCCAAACCAAATTAATATTGAAATGATTCTTATTAAAACTTCAGGAAAAGGTGGTGATTTTCCTTGTGAATACTATTATTCAAATATTCCATTTAAACCAATATTTAATAATAATCAAAGAAAAGATCAAGATTTAATTATTCAAAATTTACCAAAAAATATTATGTTTCAGTTAAAAATTATTACAGCACAAAATATTGATACTTTATTAACTAATACAACTGTTGACATTGATAATTTTAAAAATAATGACACTATTATGATTGAATATTCTTTAACTAATTTAGTTATTGAAGCTACTTCACAATCTAAAGTTTATATTGGAAATGAATATCGTTATAATATTATTAATGTTACTGGTGATAATGGTTTTATTAATCAAGGTGTATTAAGTAAAGATGGTTATTTCCAAACATTAGTTCCTCCTGGTATTTATTCTACCCATTCAAATCCAAGTATGTATTATAAATTTATTACTCTTAACCAACCATTTGAGGTATTAAACTTTAAATTTACTATTCATGAATTATCATTCCAACCAGTTCTACTTTCACTTGAAGAAAAGAATAAAATAATGAATGAATTAAATACAAATACACCATCTAGCAGTAATTCTTTCATTAATAATTTATTTGGAAATAAAAAAGATGAACCTCCAATTGAAATATTTACTATTGCAGGTGGTAAAGATTATGAAAGAACTGTAAAAATTTTAATCTATTCAGTTAAAAAGAATACAAAATCTCCTTTAAAATTTTGGTTGATTGAAGATTTCTTATCTCCAGAAGGAAGAATTAAATTAAAAGAATACGGTAAGGCATTAGGTGTTACTATTGAGTATTGTAGATTCCATTGGCCATATTTCATGTTTAAACAAGTATCTAAAACTCGTATTATTTGGGCAAATAAAATACTGTTTTTAGATATGATGTTCCCTCAAACTGTTGACAAAATCATTTTTATGGATTCTGACCAAGTTACACGTGCTGACGCTAAAGAATTATGGAATTTTGATATTCAAGGCAATGCAATTGCTATGACTCCATTCTGTGATGGAGAATGGTTAAATAAAGAAACAGTAAATTATAGATTTTGGTATCATGACTCATGGCAACATGCCCTTCAAAATCGTCCTTATCATATCTCTGCATTATTCATTGCTGACTTAAAGACATTTAGAATGAATAATGTTGGAGAACAATATAGATCAATGTATAACAACTTGGCTCTTGACCCTAATAACCTTGCTAACCTTGACCAAGACTTACCAAACTATATTCAAAACTATGTCCCTATCTTTTCACTTCCTCAAGAATGGCTTTGGTGTGAGTCATGGTGTAATCAAATGGTTAAACCAAAAGCTAAAACAATAGATTTATGTAGTAATCCTATTAAACCATTAAGCAAAATAGAGAGTGCTCTAAAATATATTGAAGAATGGAAAAGTTACGATGAAATTGTTCATGGAATGGAAGAAAAAATAAATAATAAAAAAGAGCTTTAATTAACTCCATCATTACTTTTTTTATATTTTTGTTAAAATAACCATAAATTTTTTCTTCGTAATTCTTCAATTATGACCTTTTTCTTCATTTCTTTTGAGGAGCTCCTTGTTGTGGTGGATATCCTGGATAAGCACCTGGTTGTGGATATCCTGGTTGTTGTGGTGGATAACCTGGATAAGCACCTGGTTGTCCATAACCTTGTTGTGGTGGGTAACCTTGCTGAGGTGGATAAGCTCCTGGTTGTGGATATCCTTGTTGTGGTGGATAACCTGGATAAGCACCTGGTTGTCCATAACCTTGTTGT